AAGCCAACCTCTGGAAAACTCATTTTTACAATCTTGTAAAAATAATGACGCTTTAACTACGAAAGCGCCCGGGTTCAACCACAGATTGCTCCCAGTCTGACTAAAAAGAAATGGTAACGGATGCCGAACACTTTCTGGATCCACTTAGTGGGGGGGCTTACAGCGGGAAGTCAGTGGATCAGAGTGAGAAGCAGGGGGGATGTGAGGAGCAGCATTGGCATGTGCTGAGATTTGTGACCGGTCTGCGTTTGTTGGCGGAGCGGCGTAATGGACTGCGTCAGAAGTCGTAAAAAGAAATGGGGGGCTATGCCGTCAGCAACACTGTGCTGGTTACTTAATCACAATTTTCTCCTTTCCGTAAGTCACTTTTTCAGTATTAAAATGTTCCAAATCATTTTTGAATGAAAGACTATCGATAAGTGAACCGTTCGGTAGACTCAGTGTCATCATATCAATGAGCCAAAAAAATGCAACAAAAAAAATAATAAATACCGGTACCAAACTAGTATACTGGAAAACATCACTCCGATCGCATCAATTGTGTACATCAGTACGCCGGTACCAAACTAGTATACTGGAAAACATCACTCCAACAAAGCTAAAAGATGTATGATCCATCGTCCACATGATCGCATCAATTGTGTACATCAGTACACGGTGTCGCTTTGGTCATTTTGTGAATACCGTATTTTCCGGAGTATAAGTCGCAGTTTTTTTCATAGTTTGGCCAGGGGTGCGACTTATACTCTGGAGCGACTTATGTGTGAAATTATTAACACATGATTGTCATTTCACGTTATTTTCACATTAAACCACAAGAGGGCGCTCTCAGCATGTGTTGATAAATCGACGATGAGTCTGACGTAAGTGACGTAGAAGAGGAAGTGGTGCATCGTTTACCTCCCGAGTTTGGGGAGTTGTTTGAAAGTGACACCGAGGATGAAGATTTCATTGGATTTAGTGATTTGGAGTGAAACTGATAGTTTGGTAAACTTGTTAGCATGTTATTTATGCTAGAGTTAGTTATCTGAATAACTCTTAATATGTTACGTCGTTACTGACATTACCAGGCATGTCAGTAATGTAACGTTAGTATACCGTACACTTATTCAACCTGTTGTTCTCTATTTCATTTTATTTTAAATTGCCTTTCAAGATGACATGTATGTTTTTGGTGTTGGATTTTATCAAATAAATTTCCCCCAAAAATGTGACTTATACTCCAGTGCGACTTATATATGTTTTTTTCCTTCCGATTTACAGTCGGGAGCGACGTATAATCCGAAAAATACGGTAGATATAGTCAATAGGTGACAAACTAGAACAAGCAACTGAACCGATTGGATCTTATAGTCGCAGCAACGCATACATGGTAATAAGATGCTCTCATTGAGGGCATTATGGGAGTCTCTGTATAGGGTACAGGCAAAGGGGATGGGCTGGGAGGTTAGTGTATTAGGTCGTAGGGGTCCCAGACACGACAGGCATGACATGCCATCCAAAATAAGCTGCAGCTGTTTTGGCCCAATGGAATAGTCGCGTCTGCGAATGTGATTGGGCTGCATGTAAATGACACGGGAGGGAGTGGAATGCTGACAGATGGAGCCCGGATGGTGTACTTATTTGGGTATTTCCATGATACTTAATATTACGGAAAATGTTAGTAGGTAGCTTAAGGTCTGATGAAACCAGCAGGGGGGTGGGGGGGGGGTCTTGTTGTCATTCGATACATTGTGAGCTTTATAGACTGTACCACACATAGCATGTTCAAGAGATGTGAAAACATACTAAATGATGAGCACAGCCATAGAACGGGACATGAACGGTCCGTTTGAGCTGCGTGCCTACGCCGGTGCTCAGTACCGTACGGCATTTGGCTGAACGGAAGATGATCTTCGTCAGGGAGATGTTTTGTTTGGGTGTGTTGGAATGTGCAGAATGTGAGGCTTCTGTTGTCGTACCTCTGGTCTCTTCACGATCAGTGGTACAACCTTATCTCGCTTGACGGTTTGTATAATGCAATATTCTCTTGCTGAAATTTTGTGCAACTTCCAAGGCGTTTTTCAACTTTATGACCAAATATATAAGCACAAACTTTATTCAAGGTACTTTATGTTCCAACCTTTAAATGATTATTGATGAGACATTTCATTCCCTTCCAATGGATGATGTGACTGAGGCATCCTTACCTGAGAAGGGAACACATTATGGAAAACTAACTTTAGAATTATGCGTGTACACACACTGAAAAAGTTTGTTGTTGTTGTTGAATTTACTTCTTTTTATTGTTAGTGGGTGCACAAAATAAAATAATCCGGATCTGGGTACACTTTTTTAAGTATGTGTATGTATAGTCTACTTAAATTTACTTAAAAATGTATCTGGAGCAAGAATTAAATTTTTTGGTGCAACCACTTGACATGTGTTGAATTTTCTCAGTTTTATTTCATCAAGAGATTGCACAAAATGAAATCCTCTGGATCCAGATAGTTTTTTTCAACATCTCCTTAAAAAAATGTTACGAAAGCCAGATGATTCGTTTGCGTGCCGCTACATAATAAAATAGAGTAAAATTAACGCACCTTTTTTTTCAGTGTATCTGTCAATCTTGTCCTAGTTATGGAATATCCACTGATGTTTTCTTGATGACTAAGATGGAGTTGAAGTTTTGTATCAAATTCTTATTTGATACTTTTTTTCTTCTTCTTGAAGTGTGTCACCAGTAGCACAAGTGATTATCTGTGCATGAGGGTCAACTGTTGCTACTGCGGGCCAAGTTTAGACAAACCCTCACTGAGTCAGATTGTGGGAAGCTATTAATGTGTCTTCAAGAATGTCAACATATTTTCCCGAGGAGGAGGATGGTGTGCGCTCTGGGACAAACTACTGTCAGTGTTGTGGATTTGCTTTTAACCCTCATATATAGTTGAAAAAAAATCACATTGATTATGTTGTGGGTCATTTTGACTCGTACTGTAAAAATCCACACAAAATAGTCAAAAAACAGGTTACACCAGTAACAACTTTGTTTAAGTCAATTTCAAAACACATAATAGATCAGCTGTTAATATCACCGTAAATGTTCAAAAAATAGATTGTTTCTAGAGATGACCACAGAAGAGGTCTCGTGTCCAAATAGTTTGGATGAGACTCCGAATGACACGCACACACACCCAGTGAAAATAATGGTGTGTTGATGTATAGTCTATGAAAAAAAAAAACCAAAAACAAAATGGATCCACAAGATTTTATTTCATGCAACCATTTGATTAAATAAAAGCGAGTAAATTCAACAACAACAAAAAAAAAGATTGTGTACAGATGAAGTGCTCATGGCATTTTTATTTTTTTTATTTATTTTTTTGCTACCACTTGGAAGAATGTCTTTTTGAGTACGTGTGTGTGCGTCTGTGTGGATTTCTTTTGGTGCAGATTATGTTGCATTGTACTGCAGCCAATGTAGACGCAGTGTCAATTTTTCCTACAAGACTACCCCTTTGTCCCCCCACCTCGGCGCCGCATACCCTCTGTTGCACTCTCATTCCATGATATCATGAACCGTTCTCCCGGCAAACCTGATAAAGCCAGCTTGTTTTCACTCTTCTCATTGATTTGTCCTATCCATTGTGTTAAGTTGAAGCAGCAGCAACCTGTGTCCATTCTGAGTCTGTTGGCCAAAGGGCGAGCGGAGGCAAATTAGCAAAAATGTACTATGTCGGGGGAATCACAAAACATACAATTTGAGTGCAAAATGAAAGGGTGGGAACAGCAGACTCAGCACTAAATGTTTTTGTCCAACCATCTACACTGGTCTCTTTGCCAGAAATCTTATTGGAGTTAGAATAGTGCAGAAAAGCTCACTCCATTTTTTTGTATATCATCTGTTCTTAATGTTACCTTTTATTTTTCTCATAAAGTTGTTTTGAATCTGTTTCTTGTACTGTAGGTTTTTGCTCACTCCACAAATGGCTCGAATGTTCATGCGCATTTTGGGGGGTTTCTGTGATCATTTCAAGCAAACAGGAAGTGTGTGAGTATGAGAGAGATGTCCACAAACTCCCATGCCCTTCTACCCCACGCAGGGCTACGCCATCTTGTTTACGTTCCCATGTATTTTTGTCGACAGCTGCTTCACATTGCCATCTTCGATTGCATTTTCCTTTTCCATTTCCTTTTTTTTTTTCCCACCCTCGCCCTCATTCATGTTGACCCCTGTTAAGCACCTCTCTTCCAAGTTCAAGGTCAAGCACTGGTTTCTCTCTTTCGAGGACTGAAGTGGGTTATTCCTCTCGAGATAACAGGTGAATCCTTAGCCCTGTCAGTTTTTGAAGGCGTTTGACCTCCAACATTTGCTCTCATTGTTTCCATTTGCTGTGTTGTTGAAACAACTCGTTGGACCCGTGTGGGGTTTGCGTGTTCCCCCTGTTCAAAGAACATGCTTCTCAGGCCAGTTGAAGACTCCAAATTGTCCGTCAGTGTGAATATACGTATATCCATCCATCCGTTTTCCGAAAATGGTCCCAGGGGGTGCTGGAACCGATCCCACCCTGAACTGGTTGCCAGCCAATCGCAGGGCACACAGAGACTAACAACCATCCACGCACACATTTATACCTAGGTGTTGTTCAGTCAGCCTGACATGCATGTTTTTGAAATGTGGGAGGAAACCGGAGTACCCGGAGAAAACCCACGCAGGCCCGGGGAGAACATGCAAACTCCACACCGGGAGACTGGAGCTGGAATTGAACCCAGTACCTCTGCACTGTGAGGTCGACGCGCTTACCACTGGACCACTGGGCCGCCTCCGTGAATATATATTTATTCTATATTTGTGATTGGCTGGTGATCACTGCAGAGTGTAACTGGCCTCTTGCCCAAGGTCACCAAACAAAAAGGCTTCAGTTCAGACGAGAACCTAACTGAGGACAGGCGGTATAGAAGAGTGATGGATGAATGTAACAATTGTTGGATTTTAATATTCGCTGTTTTGTGTTACGCAGGAAAAGCGAAAACGTCAAGCCGAGATCGAAGACAAGAGAAGGCAGCTTGATGATTTGGTTTTGCAGCTACAACATCTCAAGGTGGGTGCCTGTTTGAAACATTCATTATTCACTCAAATGGGAACTATTTATCTGTGGGAACTGGGCGACTACATGGTTTTTAGTTTTAAAAATACCTGTAGACAACAGAGCGTAATATAGATTGAGCTCTTCAACATTTCAGCTAGTGATAAAAGAGTCCCGAGACCTCACTCATGATCAGAACTTCAAATATCCGGTCACAAATCACATCAACCTTAACTCCCGTTCGTACTGATAGTCCACCATTTCGAGTTGATGTGACATCAGCCTGGATTACGGTATCTGGACATACGGATTCAGCTCCACCTCTGTGAATTGATTTCAAATGCTGCTGAGATGTAGAATGCGTGGGAAAATGACCTCATGTTGCTGCTTTGCCATAATTATCCAGCCAGTGGAAATAAATTACATTCCTTTCTCGAATGAAAGAGCTTGGCTTATAAGAGTCCTTTATTAGGAAATTTGAATCCTGACTACTGGTGGTTTCCAGCTTTAAACACGCAGTTATGGAAACATTGACAAAGGATTGTTGATTGAAGCCATGCGCACCTTCTGTTTCTGGCTATTAAAGTGCCGTGTTCAATGCACCGGAGTCCTTCGTGCTAATACGCGCATCAAGCGATGTGCTCTCACAAGAACTTACTATTAATAGATGAAACATAAAACACGATTTTAAGTTCATATGAATTGTTTTCCAGCAACATAAACTCTGTGCGTAAATGCACACCCACCACAGGGAGGTCCACCATTATGTTTTGACCTCACATAAATAATTGAAAAGTATTGAGGATTTTTTTTCCCCCCCATTGCTACTATCAACTCCAACAAAAGCTTTTTCAAGGTTACAAAAAGTCTTTGCAAGTTTTTCCCAAGCCAATGTTTGATGTCATTCGGTCCATAAAGGCTCAGTTGCAAGATTTTAAAATGCTGAGTCTGCATATGTTGAAAAATATAAGGCCGAAATTAACCTACCGTTTTTCCCTCATTATGTAATGGCGCGCCAATAAAATGATCTTTTTTAAACCAACTGATGAAAACAATCAATAGTGTCGTGAAGGCGGAATCTGCACTATCGGACACGTCGCTTTATTGAGCGCAACAGCCCTCCTTGAGTCAGCACTCTGCCGTGTTTACTGTTCATGCATACACCAACCAGCAGCCGACTTGATGTAATCAGCATCTGGTCACACAGTCCCATCAAATGGCCATTATGTCTGAGTGCCACGCAGCCAAGCGGCATGAAGCAAGCTTTGTAGTACAGCCTCCAGGGGCTTGGTGCCCTGAGAAAAGAAAACTAGACTACAATCCAATGATTTGATAAGGACAGCTGGGCCTCTGTGATTGGATGCACTGGTCTGTGAACAAGTTATGTCGTTATATCAAATTTCATAGTCAAGTGTGGCCTGCACCAATGTTTTTTTTTTTTTTCATTTTTTTACCACGAGCAGTAAGGAGGGTCTTCGTTACCTTACTATCCAAGTTTTCGGAGACTTAACCCTTTAAGGGACAGCGGCCACTACAATGGACAGCTTATCATGTTAAGTTAAGATAAGGTAACCTTTATTTGTCCCACACTGGGGAAATTTGCAGTCTATAGCAGCAAAATAGGGGGGGAGGGGAGATAAAAACAAAGTGTTTCATTGCACAAAAGAAATGTTTCAGAAAAGAACTGTACACAGTTCAATATAAGTGCAATATAAAATATAGCAATATATTTGTCAAACAAATATAATAAATTAGCAATAGCATAGAAAACACAGCATAAAGTGGCTGTGCTATTTACAATGGTTACAGGTTTTCACGTATGTTTATTCAGTTGTTATCAGGTTACAGGGTGCATAAAAGGGTTAATGAGGTTTCAGGTCATGGACTCAACAGTGTGAGAGAAATAGCAAAAGTGTCTGGAGAATCACAAGAGGAAATAACAGCTGCGGCCTTTTCCATCTGACTTTGGGCAAGAGGCGGGGTACGATGCTGGACTGGTCGTAAGTCAGTAACAAGGCACATGCAGAGAGACAAACAACTATTTTCACCGATGTTAAATTGTGAGTGGCCAATTAGCCTAACGTGCCTGCTTTTGGAATGCTGTTTTGTATTCAGAGAGAAAAAAAAAAAATCTACGTCCACAATGGAAGGCCCCATCCCAGATTCAAATCCTTTAAACTGTGAGGCAGTCAAATGGAAAGAAAGGCTAAATTGAGAGCCAGTCATCCATCAGGAATTGGTAAAGTTTCATTATGTCTAAAAGGTATTTTAACATATTGTGTTGATTGAATTTGGTAAAGAAAGGCCATTGTAATGCAACTTCAACCATGTGGCACGCCACCCTCGGCAGATGTGGTGTGAGGTTTGCTTGGTTGTCTGTGAGGGAAGCAATCACAAATACGCACATGCAAACAACCAAATACCTCAGCTGTCGCAAACTGACAGCAGGTGGTATAATGTCACGGACTCGTCTCAGCATTGTGTGTGGTGACTCATATGTGGATTTGTTTGCGCGCTCATTGTGTGTGGACATTTTTTGGCATTGTCATTTCGAACATTTGGAGACAAGCAGCTCAATGTGTGACGGTGAACGTCCATAGTTGAAGCAAAGTGTTCATGGTGGACTCTTTTGGACTCCAGCTGACTTTGGGCGAGAGGTGGGGTACACCATGGATTGGTTGCCAGCCAACTGCAGCTTTCATGAGATGTTTGGATCCAGGTAGCCTTTCAAATGAGATGGAAAAAAAAATGCATTTCAACATCACATTTTTGTTTTAGATGGTGTGGGATCGATTTCCATTGCTCTAGTGCAAAATCACTGCAAGTGACTGACGACCATACACCGGTTTAGTCTATCCTTTGCACTAATCAGCTCAAATGGATGTGTCGGAAACTCGATCAGCGGATTTTCAAATGAATTCATGGATGTTGTTCAACGGGACCAGAAATAGTTCATGGAAGTGTGACAGTGCGAGGATATACAGATTGAAACATAGTTCCCAACTCTCATCTGATTACCAGAGTTACATCCGGGATGTCAAAGCTGTTTTGACTCTTCAGTTGGAGCTTGTTCAAGACAAGAGTGCCATGTTCTCCCTCGAGCTCTATATTTAGAAACTTACCTGAGATATCTGTTTGCAGTCCAAAGCCACGCGGGAGCGATGGCTCCTCCAGGGAATGGCAGCAGAACAAGAGGAGGCACGGCGGAAGCAGCTGCAACTGGACGAGGAGCACGGGAAGAGGCTGGAAGACCTTATACAGAGGTACTGTTGTTGTTTCACCTCCCTAATGTGTTTTAATCCTTGAAACATCACACGTTTCTTGGTCCGAATGGATCAGGCCGCGATGCGGAACAGATGCAAATAGGATCAGATGATTGCAAGGAGAGTTTTGTAGTCTTTTAGTTGGAAATTGATTCTGTGTAAATTGGTCCTGTCTCCTGTCCTCAGCTCGGCCAGACAGATTCTTTCACTTCGTACTGCAGTACATCAAATCTTAACAAACGGGGGCCACGTGCCTCACTTTGATTACATCGGTCGCATTTGAAGTGTCAAACAGAGTCTTAAAATAGAGCCCTAAATTTGAAATACTCCACAAACATTCCTTTGTCAGCAGTGAATAAATTGAACACCAACATACGATTTTATTTGAGTATTTTTAGCATCAGCTTTGCCAAGCAGAAGCCACAAAGGCGGAAGGACAGAAAAAAAAAAAACAAGAAGCATGATGTAAGAGAGACAGGGCAAAGTGGCATGAAATTGATCCAAAAGGGAGGTGCTGTGAAGATTGAGCGAAAGGGTAGCGGGTGATGTGACTGTGTGCGCTTCCTGCATTTGTGTCTTCGGGAGGAGCTTCCTGATTCCCATCAAGCATTAACGTGGGATCGGCACTTATTTTCAGATGAAGTCGGCACATGAGATCACTTGCGCAATGAACAAAGTGCCAGGCTTTGTCGTCATAACACTTGGCTATTATCGGCTTGGAGCGTTGTCCTCTGGTTAGATGTGGCCATTTCCACACACAGTTGTTGTCAGTAATAGAAAGCAAGCGTATGCCAACCGCTCAACCTCTGAACTAATGTGCAACTTGTGGGGCTCGGCAACAAGTTTTATAGACTGGCTGGCGTGCAGTCCCGGGTTTTGCTGTGATCTGGAAAAGGGCGCGGAGGGAAATATGCAATTCACACGAGCATTCTCACACACAAAAATGACACACAAAAGTTTGCGGGTTTTATGTGAAAGCTTTAACAATCGTACCGTGGTTTTGCTCTTCAATTAAAAAAAAGAAAAAGGCACAAAAAAAAAATATATATATATATATA